ATAAACAATAATGATGGGAATGATATGAATCCAGTCACAGGAAGAGATGGTGCAGATTCATTTTGTCATTGGAAGCATGTGTAAACCTAACATGAAATTTCTTGTTTAATCTCCTATATTAAATTGGTTTCATACAGGAAGTTACAAGAAACAACAGAAAACATGTTTGGGAGGTGGGGGGAGTATTTCAGCTGTGACATTTGGCCAATAACCTGTCACGTCCATCAGCAAAACATATATTAAAAGAAATCATATCTTTGTCATTAACAGAAACATAATTTTTAAATCAGATTTCAAATTACAAATACTGACACAAGCTTTCTGTCTCTCAATGTTTAAAAAACAAACAAAACAAAAAAAACACAGAACCAGTGCTATTTTTAAAAACATCTAACAAGATTAAGAGGTGAGTGCCACATAACTCTCTCACCCATGACTAGCCGTTTGAAACACAGAAAGAAGCCATTTCTATGGAAATCCAATGTTTACACGCATGGGAGAAGTCTATTATCTGCCATTTTGAAAATGTGCACAGTGCTTCCTGGGGTTTCTACCTCATATTGCTCTCAGCATTTTCTTCCTTGTTTTCTTCTTTCTCCCCTGTGCTCATCCAGAGGAAAAACAAATGGTTTAAATGTCCTTTTGCCTGATTAAGCAAAAACCCTTTCTGCTTCTTCTACATCTATATATTGCCAGAGAAGTTTCCCACTAGTGTCCCCAAAGTACCTCTTTCAGAAGCTGAATGGGGTCTTTTTCACCTTGAAAGCATTTAAATGGAGTTGCTAGGATTGGACTCTTCTCTCCCCACTCTTGCAAGGTATGTCAGGAGTTCAATGGTGTCTTGTGAAGCGTGAAGTTATACAGGGGAAGCAATGTGACTACGGCAAGAGAATAAAGTGACAGTAATGCATTGACAACACCACTCATCTCCCAGAAAGTAAAATACATCTCTTGAAAAGAGACATCTTGCGATGTTTAGCTTTGATTTTTTAAGAGTCCTACAAAAGTATCCCAAGAGGTATGGTACACTTTGAAATTTAAAGAACAGGTTTGATCCAGAAAAGCACAGCAACACGGGAACTCAAAGGAACCTCAGTGGAGACAGTTATTCCCATGGTTTTTGATTTGCATTGCATACTTACTTTATTCACAGCCTGCTGGGTCTGGAGGATAAAATCTGCCTTCTCAAACTCAAGGAGACAAAGGGCAACGTTTCAGAGTGAGGAGCCAATACTCTTTGCCCTTAAACAGGTGGGATGGCATACAGTGATGTCCCTGCGCATGTGTTAGATGACGGCCATTTCTAAGCAGCATCTACTCTACTTTATGTACTGTAGTTGTTCTACAGCCTAATTCGGTGTAATTATCCCCACTTTGTTGTGTAAACTCAAATTTACAACTGGTAAATTCAGTAATCATGATGCCAATGCCAATCGCGTTGCCCTAGCCTTAAAGAATCCAGGTCAGAAAGGAACACAGAGGTTTCCCCCAGCAGAACCTCATTCTTTTTCCTGTGAAGCTGTTTTTCTCAGACTTCAGACTCTTACTGTAATAGACCCAAGTACAGTAGTCCACCAGTTAACAGACATTCCTTGTGACTGTGCCTGCTGTGTTGTTGTGTTGTTACAAAAGAGATCCCAAAGAGTGATTTGATCCCTCATAAGTCAGTCAGACCTTCACAATTTTAGATTTCCATTCTAGTTTTTTTTTATAAGCTTCCAACTACATCGTGTTGTATTTGGAAGGAAGGTCAGACCATTTTTCTATGACATGTATAAAAAAAACCACACCCACACATGATCCTTATAATTCATGATGTTCAACCACATTTGAAAATAGGGGGAGGAGATGAAGGGAGAAACTTACTACCACAACAAAATACTTTTTTCATTGCAACTGAAGCATTGCACTGTTTTGGAATACATTGATCCTTGAGATAGCAATGCAATGGACTTGGAACCTGTCCAGGGTATATTCTGCCTTTTGACCACCCCCCCTCTGGGATATGCTACGGCACTATCCCAGAGGGTGCCCACTACCACCCTGTATCCTAGCTGAATGAGCAGTTAACAGAATGGAAGGATGGATGAATCAATACAGCTTCATGTATCTTGTGGAATAAACAAAGAAACAAAATGATTCAGTGATCTCCATTAACTAGTCTGGTTTGTTAACCTAGTATTATCAGTCCTAGAACTAATTGCTTTTAATGTTTAAGTGATCTGTATTACTTAATTAAGTAAGACCATGTGGATATTATTCTATTGACTTGTAATTGACATTTTTGTTTGTTTGTTATCTGGAAAGTATTTGGCTTTTATATTGTAGAAAAAAACAGTAAGTACAATATAATACTTACTTTTAATAGTATAAAAGCAAGAAAAGTTAAAAAAAATGCTCTTTAGAAATTGAAAATGGAAAATACACACACACACACACACACACACACACACACACACACACACACATATATATATACATATACATATATATATATATATATATATATATATATATATATATATATATATAACACCCAGCACGCCCCTGCGGGCGGTTTATCCTTCAAGCTCGGGTCCTCTACAGAGGCCTGGAGCTTGAGGTCCTGCGCAGTATCTTAACTGTTCCCAGGACTGCGCTCTTCTGGACAGAGATCTCCGATGTTATTCCCGGGATCTGCTGAAGCCACTCGCCTAGCTTGGGAGTCACCGCACTTAGTGCTCCGATACTATATATATATATATATATATATATATAATATATATATATATATATATATATATATATATATATTATTATTATTATTAAGGTGCTGAGTGCAGTGGCAATGCCTTGAAAATCCAAAAAAGTCACTGATCTGAGCAATTTTTATAATAGTTTTATTATATCAATTACTCGGATCACTAGTTTGATTTTCAAGGCATTGCCACTGCACTCAGCACCCTGAGCGGTTAGACAGAGGTTTGACACTTGTATGCAGGTTTGGACTTTGTGGTCAGGACACATGTCTACTCTGTCTACTCTCAGTAAGGCTGAGCGTGAGCGTGTTGAACACACTGTCACACACACCATCTGTTACCTCCAACACTTCTGGCTTGGACAAACACAGCTATGAGCAGGTAATGGTGCAGACAAAACTTCTGACCTTGACACTGTCTCCTATGTGTGATCAGCGCGGGGAGAGAGGTAGATTGATGAGAGTCTTTTTGATTTTGGTTTGTGTGAGAAAGGCAGCAGAATCCCACGTTGCCTGGAAACCTGTCTATCTTGTAGTGTGTGATGAAAGATGGGGTCTTTCTCTGCCTTCCTTATCTTATTCAACTTCAAGATAAACATCAAATCACCACACTCAATAAATGTATTTCTTTTTTTTTAACCTTATGCAAGATCTCACATGCCAGTACACAAATACTTATGCAACATAACCTTTTTCAGGTGCATTCATTAATCTATTTTAATTGAGGGATACTTAAAAATACTTTTACTTAATAAGTAACTTAATTAATAACATTTGGGATTTTAAAATAAAGCACAGAAAAAGCACCATAGAATATGTGTTAGCATGTGCTATTCATCAGTGTTAATGATGAATAGCAGCATTATGTATCAAGTTATTTGCCACAATTACACTCACCGTGTTCTTGAAGATTCCTCTACTTGTCATTAAAGTTCACCTTGATGGATTTTGTGAGGTTTTTAATTTCTTGAAAAGCCTATTTATTATCTCCTCTTTGTACTTCCGAGAGGCAGGGCTCGCTGTGGGCTAAGGTCACTTTGAACATCAAATTTTGAAAAACTTGGTGCCAGGTCACTTAAAGCGACCATTCCTTTGTGGTTTGGCAGGAATGGTAATGCAGTACTTTATTCCTCCCAGATGACACTTAATGACAGTAATCTAGTTTTGGTAAAGGCTTGCCCTTTTAAGGCAAAGAGTTATAGACATAAAAGATGTCTCCACAACACCAAGAACAAGGCTGCTGCCATAGGAAAAAAAATATTTTGAAAACACAATTGTGTGATAAATGAGATCTATCCAGTGTAAATAATTCTGTTCACTTTACACCCCTTTCATACAGACTAATTTTAGTCATTGTCCACAATTATTATTCGATCTACTGCTGTGAACACAGCACTAAAAAAATGCTTTAATTTCACTCGCCAGATCAATAGCACCTGATACAGCCTCATCTCATTCTCATCTAACAGTGAGGCACTGCGTTTATAATGCTATTGACAATATTGAGCAGTATTGACGAAAAAACTGGATAAGAGCCTCAGGCAGCGGGCAGGAATGAAGTGCCATTTCTTCACAGCTGTACACCTTTGTAATAGCTCTCTCAACCATGAACATGAATATAAAATGCCAGCTACTAAAAATCAGACAGCTTTGTTTCAATCGTTTTACTCAACCGTTCGTGTCTTTTGGCGGGGTGACGCTGGGTCGAGTTCAGGAGGAGACAAATGATAACAGAAATGATGCATCAGCTCTGCGAGAGCACATCTGCAAGATAAAGGAGGAATGTTTGTGTGCTGGATAAACAAAATGGCTCTAGTATATCTAGTTGCAGGTGCAATGTTGGGAATGGGAATAATGTGTTGGGGGATCTAACACCGAGTCTCTAAAAGTATAAACCGAGCAAGTGTATGTTACACATTCTGATGTTTTAATTCATTCAAACGGAGATGAACTAGCTAAATATATATTTATACATGTATAATAACATTTTGAAATAACAGTTAGGTATAATAAGGCGTGCTTTAAGATCTTATCAGTCCAAGTACATACAAATTGAATGAAAGGAAATAAAATCTAATAGAAGCCAGCCAAAACAGCGCGCTTTCATTTACGCGACACTCATCATGTTGCTGACTATGCCTATGAGTATATCAGCTGTCTGTGATCTCCTTGAAAAACAGAAAGAAAGAAAACGACTCCTGACCATAGCTGTACCAGTTCAGATCTAAACTGCTGCTGAGTTTTAATGCTCAGATTTATTGTGCTTGTTACATTCGCGCGGCTTTTTCTCCCAGGGCAAGAGAGAGGAGAGGAGGGGCTGAGCTGTGCTGTGCTGCACCGTTCAGCTGCTCACCTCTCACTGAATCCCGTCTCCACCTTTCATCCCTCAACTTGTCCCACGTAGGGATGGATGAGTTCCACCGCCGTCGGACCTTGTAAAGTATCAGACCAATGCGTCTGAACTGGGGGACCGACAGTCACTGGAGGGTCTTTGGGCGTCGGTGATGTTTGCAATTGGTGACTGCAGAAACTGCCAACGTGTCGGCGAGTCGACAGACCACAGCTTACTTGTGCGCTCTTGGAGTGGGAGAATGGACATGTGAATGAGAACGATTTCCCTCGGCGGCTACAATAACTGTTTTGGTTCTTTTAGTTCACAAATCGTCACAAAGTCTCACAAGTGAAAACAGGATTGATGAGATTCTTTTTCTTTTTTTCTTTTTTTGTTTCTGCTTGAGGAGGAATTCATGCGCCGATAGCTCACGAGGCCAATATGCCAGAATGGGTCCTCTACAGTATTTATTTCTCTGTGGACTTCTGCACACCCAGACCTATGGTAAGTTCATACAGTGCATGCATCTCTTACTTAGCGTCGTGGTTAAAAGGATGTCTCGTCCCACGTCATGCTATAGAAAGAATAGTCAACTGTGACCCGATGCGTATTCGACCACAGTGATTCCAGCTTAAGTCCACCAAGAAGATACTGAGTATGGTACGCGATTAACAGCTGGCACCCTTCAATTCTTGGTCATCATATTATATACTTTCTTCTCTTTCTTTTTAGTTTAGCCCCTGTATAAGATTTTGTTCCAGACCAACTATTTAATGGTTAGGTAGACAAAGTGATTATTTATTTATACGGGGTACCCTTAGCTGAATAGATTTCTTACTTGAATGAAATGGTTGACAGCTTATCAATATTGAGTAAACTGACAAAAAAAAAAAAAAAAAAAGTCCAGGCAGCCAAACTTTTCCCCCCTATATTATCTGAAAAAATAATATTTTCTGCTCCTTCAGTGTCATGTTCTACTCATGTCGAAACCTATAATGGCTCCTGCTGGACCCACATATTGCTTTAATTCTCTTTATCTTGCGTCAGATACGTGGCCTCACGTTCAGGTTGATCAGTTAACTTAATGGACCTTCTGCTGTCTCAAATTTGAAATGTCTAGTCTGACGTGGAGGCAGTGTACCTTCACATAGTCTTAAAATCTGTCCCAAGCTGTGCATGTGTTCAGTACAATGGACCTTTTAACATAAACACTGTATGCACAAAAATTCATTTGCACCTTTACATTTCAAGAATCTTGCGTTGTTCAATCTCCTGAAGTGTTTTGTGCTACTTTGTCCCATATAGCACAAATCTGTGTCAGTAGAGTAAATGTGTGCAGGTGTAAGCACTACACAGCACATAAAGTGGCTTTTGAAACGGGTGTTTCCTGTACACTGGAAATGCTGAGTTTATATGGTACAGTGTGTCAATGCAGCACACAAGAGCAGCAATCATCTCATCTTTATGAAACCTGTAGTCGGGGGGCGGGTGTTGATTGAACGCTGAGGTCATCATAGGAGTTGAAGTTTGTATTGGACTCCTGCTGACAGGTGTTTCCTGTGATTGGCACACCACATTTTTCTATACATTTACTGGGTTGAATCAGCACATTCTGACAGTTACATCATAAGCCATTGTTAATGCATGGCTGTTGCATTGGTTTTAATGGGTTTCTGTGGATATATATGTATTAATATGGAGATATATGTTAATACACATCCAGCATACCCATTCTTATGTTTTCAGTTAAAGGAATCTTCCAAGTTATAAGCTGAAGCTTGTACTGGTAAAACACTGTCAGCGTAACCTGGTTTTTATCAAAGTGTCCACTGCATGTAAGCTCCCAAATAACTACTTATTTTCTGCAAGGCTTTGAGTGTGGGCTTCAGCACCATGGATAGTTCTCACTAAATGGACATATTTGGGAAGAAAAATGAGCCTCAAAGGCTGGACCTGGACAAAATATTTTAAAAATATTTTAACTGTTCTAAATGTATCTAAATATAACTCTTTACTTTCAGACTCCATTAAAATTATATCTGCCTTTTTAACCCCCATTTTAAGGAGTTACATTTAAAAAAAAAAATCCAAATCTTTCCCTTCTTTTTTCACTCATTTACATTCAGGGTCATAGTGTCCATGGAGCTTGCCCCGAGTAAGAAATAGACAACCCCCTCCTGATGAGATGCCAGTCTATCACAGGGCCAACAGACTGACAGGACCCCACAGGACCTACTTGCTGTTAGATGACAGTACCAACCACTGAGCCAATGTGCCACCCACAACTTAAATCATCTAATTTAAATTCTGTTGTCTGACAGAACAAGCCTCAAACTCTGCATTAGCTACTGTGGAGACCGGGTAATGGGAAGACCAATTAAACAAAGCCAGTATTTCACAAAATATGTGTTTGTGTGACTTTGCAGAGCCACACAAATGTTATAGATTATAGAGTTTTAAAAGCATTTTTAATACGCAGTGTATCTCCCTGCTTTGGCATGCTGGTGCCAGCTAATGGAACGCTTTTTGTCAACAAACCTCTTAACATTATAGACCATGACATCAATTTTTATTCACTTTTATGACTTTATTTCAGTTGCTGTAGAGCAGTCAATGATCACGGCTGCCTCTGCAGTTTGTATGATTTGTCCCCCTCACAGTTAAAAAGACAAGAGAAGCCAAACATCACTTTCATTTATTTATTATATATCTTATTTATTTTCTCCGTAAGACAGTCGAAAACGTAAGTTCTAGCAACTTAAACACTACACACTTGACTTGTTTGTATGCACACGACAGAGAAGACCTTTTAACTCAGATATTTTAATGTGCTCATACACCATGGAACAGATGAAAGTTGTGAGATTGTCATGTCGGTAAACAAACACAGTGCCACTACATTCGGGTCATTACTCTGTGACATTTAGAGGTGGAATATATGAAACACCACTGAATTGGTCAATAAATGGAAAAAAAAAATAATCAGGCATTCCCGTGACATTTGATGGAGATCAGCTATCAAATACTGGGGGTTAAAACGTAAATATTATTTATGGCGAAATATAGCTGTTGATTTGAAAAGTACATAGTGAACTTTGCACATCCTTAGTGTTAAAGTACAAATCAAAAAATCCATTGTAGCAGCTGCTGTTATACACCCACTGTGACAACATGTTTGATGATGTCAGTGTTTGATGGAACGTGTTAATGAAAAAGTTAATGAGATGTAATGACTCCTCAGCTCCTGTCTGTGAAAGTAAATATGGAAGCTTCAGTTTAGAAACACAGTATATTGTAGAGCAAATAAAAACCTGACACTAATCAGCTTTCTTTTTTTTTCCAGGTACTGTAATCACATTATATTTTGTGTGTTCCACCAATCATATTTACAAATTGATGCAGAGGCATAATTTACAGTTTAAATTGCAGTGGAAATTATTATTTTAGTGACAGACGAAAACCATTACTTATTTTCCAACATAATTCCCCAAGATTTCTCTCTGTCATCAGCTGTCATTATTTTAATCAAAAGGAGTATGATAATCAACAATTCCCTGTTTTTCTCTCTTTTTTTATTTTAGAGAAACTGTGATAAGCCAGTATTGCTTTACTGCTGTTGTATGACACAGTGCCTATTAACTTTTAAAGGTTGCTCATTTGTAGTTGATATTGCTGTTTTTGGTAACTCAGGGGTTACCAACCTTTATCCCAAACATACTGTTGGTTAAAAAAGAAATATATGTGTATATGAAATAAACATTATCATCATTCCTTTCCTTTAGGGTCTCGTCTTCGCCAGGAAGACTTCCCTCCCCGCATTGTGGAACACCCTTCTGACCTCATTGTGTCCAAGGGGGAGCCAGCCACTCTCAACTGTAAGGCAGAGGGTCGTCCACCGCCTACGGTGGAATGGTACAAAGACGGGGAGCGTGTTGAGACAAACAGGGAAAATCCCCGTTCCCACCGTATGCTGCTTCCCAGTGGGTCCCTCTTCTTCCTGCGCATCGTTCATGGACGACGGAGCAAGCCAGATGATGGCATCTATGTTTGCGTGGCCCGAAACTATCTGGGGGAGGCCAAAAGCCGGAACGCGTCTCTAGAAGTAGCACGTAAGTTTGACTTTTCATTGTGCCCCTCTAGGCACAAAGGTAATAACATGGTCAAAGAAATCTCAATGTCGCATGAAAAAAAAAGGGAAATAAATGAATATGGAGCATGGGTGAGGGTGGTAACCTTTTGTGGGGTATATGAAAATATGAAAATGTGCTAATATTGCATAAAAAAGTAGAGGTTAAATTAAGCAAACAATGTGGAGCTGTTGTGCTACCGTATATGTCATCTGATGTCATCTGTCACGGTGCACGCAAGATCACATAACCTTTCCGCTGAACCTACAAGTGTGTGTTAATTTACCCAGCCGTGTGCATAACGTGTGTGCGCATATGTGTGTGAATATGTTTCCTGACTGCTAGTGAGACCTGTTTGGATGACCTGTTTGAGTAATGTATGGGCAAAGCTGTGAATCGCTCCAGGGAGGGAGAGCAAAAGGAGGCAGGATTTTAACCCAGCGAACTCCCTTTCAGTGTTTGGATTTGGAAAGACGCAGCCAGCTCCCAGCCAGTTCTCTCCCTGTGTGGGAGAAAGGCGCTCTGGGCTATTCACATTTCCATTATGTGCTAAACTGAGCTGATTTCTTGCCATGAACAAGATGCACACACGCTCGGACGCACATGCATGCACACAAAAACACCCACACCGTCTCCCCTGCTCTGTGTTTATCATTAGCACAGATGGGGAATTCCATGCAAACAATATATTGCAATTTGGTTTTAAAATAATAATTAAAAAAAATATTCACCCACCCATGGCATTCTGTTATATTTGCTTTTTAATTCCAAAATAGGTGAATATAAGACATGAACCTAATGACTTGACTATGATGTACTACAATTACATTACTACAGTTAAAACAAGAACATGTCAGAGTCAGAATTATGGCACTGTTGTGGCTTCAGCTGATTTGTCACCCTTGGCTTTATGGGCAAGTCACAGGAAAAGGAAGGGAAAAAAACTGAGATAAGAACCATGAAGCTAATTGTAGCTCAAGACATTATCTGAAATCTCTGTGCCTTCTTTTTGTGCACCACATGATCTCTTTGCCTTATTGCTGTATTCAGTCCCTGTTGTCTTGTGTTTCTGTTGTCTTCTTTTACTGATGATACCTCGTCTTTGTTTCAAGGCAGTGAACTGTCCTGGAAGTGCTGAGGCTTACGCAGATGCTGGCAATGTAATAGGACATACAAATCGAGCCATAAGAACGAGTGTGTGTCTGTGTGTCTGTGTGTATGTGTGCGTCAGAGGATACAACATTGGCTTCCCCATACAAAACGAGACATTGTGGTGTCGGGTATTATAGCTGGTATTATCTAGCATCCCTGTCTCACTGTAATCGGAATTTACACTGCACTTTGTATCACATTTACACTGCACTTCTTGAGCTGTACAGTTGTCTTTGAAGATAGTGAATAATTCTTTCTCATAAAGAAACCAGAGACCCAAAACTGTCGTTATAATGTCAAGAGACACATCTTCTGGCGGCTTCACTGATTCCCTTGACTGAATAGATGCCTACTTTATGAGCACAGTGACTGTGTCAGAGTGATTTTGTGGGGATTTTCTGGTTCTCCCTAAACACAATAAAGCTCATTTGTATGTTGTAGCTCAAACCGGCATTCTGAATTCATTTTCTGAGTTAATTCTCACATTCTTTGTCACTGTTAAAGCTGCAGCTACTTATAAATTGTTTCTTGGTTTTTTTTTCGTGAGAAACCTATGTTATGTGTAGCAACCATACATATGTTGTAAATGTGACTTACCCAAAATAGAGTAGCAACACCTAAATATTAGAAAATATAGAAATGTCTTCCTCAGCATGGCTCAGCAAAGCTTTAATATTCTTTGAAAGGCATGTTTTGTTGCACATCATAGGATACATTCTTGAATCCACACCAATTGGTTTATATTTTTTGTATTCAAAGCACCATCGTAATCATTTTGAGGACATTTTGAAGGATCAGTGTTGGCTCTGAGGAGTACACCTCATGAGTACACTTCGTATTTCTAGATAGAGCCATACATATTTGGAGAATGACACTTTTTTGTGTGTATTTTTCTTTCTACACCACCTTAGTTAATTTAAATCACACAAGCGAGATGTGATTTGAGTATAAACTTATGGCAGTAATTCAATGGATTTACCAAAAGTAAATGAAATGACTGCCTGAATTCTACAACCCATGGACATCACGAAATGTTGTTTCTGCTCTCTAAGTCCTTTACTGCCACCACCTTTAGTTCCTGTTTTTTGTGGGCCTTTCTGCCTTCAATTTATTTTTCTTTAATAAAAGAAAAGTAACAAGGCCATTGAAGAGTTTCCCATTCCGTTGCCTTGAGAAACTCTTAGGTTGCTTTTGCTGCGCTCTGATTAATTATATATTTGCACTGTAAAGTCCTGTCTGATCAGTTTTGCAGCATTTGGCTGAGTCTGAGCAGAGAAGTAGCACTAGCATAGCCTGCTAGTGCTGCTGCTTTAAGCAGTCACATCATCAATAACCACTCGGTTCCACAGGCAGCCATACATGCCATAACATTACTTCAACCATGTTTGACAGATGATGTGGTATGCTTTGGATCACAAACTGTTTCTCTCCTTCGCCATACTTTTCACTCCTCATAATTGTCGAACAAGTCAAGCTTGGTTTCATATGTCCAAAGATTTTTTCTTTTTTTTTTTCAAAAATGTTCCACATTTTTTCTGGCAACGTCAATTAACCAATATTTACATTTATGTAGACGACTTTGACAGTGATGCACCTACCCCCACAAGATGACTTGACTTGGTTAGATGCTACTTTTTGGTGTTGCTGTTCTTGTCAGTGCATTTGTTCTTTTTTAGCAGTGTATCAGATGTTCAATTTCCCAATTCTAACTTTATTATTTTGATTTCCACCCTAATAATTGCCTTCACATGAATCAATCTTCATTGATGTCCACTGCAGTGGTGTACAGAAGCAAAACTAAAAACAAAAAATAAATGGTCCAAATACTCATTAATCTATTTGTACAGCTCAGTATATCTTGTCTATTATAAGGAAGCCCAGGATAGGATCCACATATTTTCAGTATGTATTATATTTATAGTAACTGCCTTGTGTACATAGTGTTAAGGGATCATTTTTGTTTTCCACAGCCTTTCTTACATAAAGGACAGTACATGCCGGGCAGATTTTAGTCTTCTCTGTGTAATTCAGAATATCATGGTTACAGGGATGCATAATCACATGACTCCTCCAGGGACTGCAGGTTCCTGCCAGTATTGCTGCAGCCAAAGTTGTCATGCAATGCTCCGGGTGGGAGCAAACGGGTATACGAAAGTGCTGTGGGGATGATCTGACAGTGAGTCTAGCTCTAGAATGGTCTTTAGGAGTCCACACACATCCTCAGATTTTCTAATGGGCTGTAGCATTGTATCTTAACCAGTGGCTCAGAAAATGTAGCTAACTAGAGGGGTGCTGCTCCCTTGGGTACATTTGTGCTATACAAGCTCAATTTTGGTGGTTCGTCATGCATTTTGTGAGCTTGAGTCTGAGTGAAATTTGAAGAGACATTATTCATTCCGTGTGATGCAAAACACTTCAGCTGTTTAAGATGGCAGCAAAGCTTAAAATATGTAAATTATGCAGATATGCCAGACAAACGTACAGCTGACAGCCTGGCATCAACAAATGATGTACCTCACAACATTTGTTTGTCATATAAATTAGCCAGTCCATACTAAAACATCTATTTGCACACATATTTTCTTTCTCCCCTTATGCCTTAACAGGGCTCATGTTAAAGAATTAATAGTAACAGTGCAAATTTAAACCACAGGTTTTTTTGTTGTTGTTGAGAATCATCTAAAAGGACAGACAAAATGTTAGTTTTTCTTGAAATCTGAAGAAATTATTGTGCATAACTCACCATTTCTTTATTTCCTCCATTATTTGATTTGTTATTCACTTAACACATTGGCATATTTTAAAGTCTTTGCCTTTAACTTGCTTCTTGTGCCTAATCATCTAGCTTCAGGCTGACTTCAATACAACTGTGATGTCTAGAGGGACAGTATTAACATATTTTCATACCATCTGCATGGTTATTCCTTCCTTGTTAAATCTTTTAGCGCACTGTGGATATTTTCCAGCACCGTGGTTTTTCAGAGGAAATGTTTTACATTTACATTGACTCTTAGCTGAGCAAGACTGAACTAACCCTGAATAAGTATAAGTGGAAAAAAATGAAGGCTAGAAAGCATAAATTTTATCCTGTGGACAATGGGAGCATATTTATTTTCTAAGCTGATGGACTATAGCAAGGCACGAAACAGAAGAATTTTCAGCCTTCTCGAGATTCTATTTCCTGACCGTCTTATTTGGTGTATATATGACACAAATGATAACATCAGCTATTTCAAAGGGAAAAAAATACCTGTTTATTATTAGAATGTCATGTATTTTTTTCTTGATAAACAAGACCCATTGTGTTTTTGCTACTGTTGCAACATGTCACCTGGATCTCACATCCAAGTATGTAATTTTAATAATCGACAGGCACCTGCTGTCAGTGTGTACAATCACACTTGGCCAACCACTGAGGCAGCTTTTTTACATATTCACTCTGTTAAGTCAGACATTACAGCTGAGCGCTACTTCTGAGCAACGTGAACAAACAACTGTGCAACCTCCAGGCCACCAGTGGACTGGCACTAATCATCAGAGTGAGTGGCTGTTGATGGAATTAGAACAGCTTCCTCAAACTATTAAGAAAAGGGACAGAAAGACATGAACGGTGATGTTTTGAAGGGAGTTGTGGGCGGAGAGGCGGCAGATGCGAGGGTATTCATTAGCACCAAACTCAAGAACAAGACGAGTCCCCTTCTGTTCAACTGTGCTAGGAGAATTAGATGTATAGTCACTCAGCCAGACAATCATCAATTAAATCCTCACAGTCCCAGACAACTAGTGAACTAAGCAGAAACAATGCTAGATAAATCTAGTGCTAGATTTTT